TCTTCCCCTAAAAAAAAAAAAAAAAAAAGAGAAACATGAGTATAATTGCATGGTCCTGTGTAAATTGAATTCATTCTGCATCCTGTGTTTTTGAAAAAATGCTGCAGGTAGCAGAGAGGAACGTGCTGTTGAATCCCGGTAAATCCTTTAGCCTGGGAGGGTAATGAGAAGAAATGCAAACGTCTGTGCTGTCCCTGTGAGTGCTGGTATGTGGTGCTTGGTTCCTCCCCGGGGTCTGTGCGTGCTGTTCCTGAGCAAAGCGTCAGTAGTTGCACCAGTGCCTGGTTGTGCTCCCGCCTTGGCTCCAGCGAGGCTGGGCTGGCAGGGGCCTCTGCTCCATGTGGGCTGTTTGCTCCCATCCCCAGGGCTTTTCCATGGCTTCCGTGGGCTTTGGATCAGATCCTGCCCCACACCTCATGTTGGGCTGTGCAGCATCGGTGTGGCTTGGGGAAACAGGGGACATGGGGTCAAAATGAACTGGGAAGAATTTGCTTTCTTTGTCTCTTCTTATCCTCCTTGCTTCTACTTTTTCATTTTTTTTGCAGGCTGGTTTGGTGACAAACACACTCATTTTATTATTCTTTTCCCTCATAAAGAGATCAGGAGGTCAGAGTGTTCTGGATGCTCACAGACATGGAGAGCAGCTCCTCACTTGGGACATTTCTCCTGCTGATGTGCTTCATTGACAGCAGCTGCCTGTTTGAAGGTAGGTATTTCTTTTACTTTTTTAATTCAATTGTCTTTTTGTGGCAATGTTGGCATTTAAACAGAAACTATGATCCTGTTCTGAACACAAAGTCCTGTGGGTTGAAGGAACATTTCCTGAAATGCACAAGAAAGAAATTAATGTTCATACACATATTTCCAATTGGAATAAGCGTTTCTTAGATTGCTGTTTAGCCCACTCTCCTGTTGAAAACTGTTCTCCTTGTGACGTGGAACCCAAGATCTGAACTGTTGTTGCATGGCAGAGGTTTCCAATTTGGGAATCTAAAATGAGGCACTTCCACCGTGTGTTCTTGGGCCTCATGTTGATTGTACAACGACTACATGAGGTTTGGAAATGGCTTCAGAGAGCTGTGGCACAGGCACGAGAGTTACAGGTGCTCAGGAATCATCGTGGCTGTCCTTGCAGAGAAGGAAGAGCAGAGCAAGCAGTGGTATTGGCAAAGGCTCTGTGGGACACTGACTTAAAGGAGGGAAATCCATTAAGTGACCCAGAACACAAGGGGTGCTGAAGGGAAATTTTCCTGCTGTAAGTGAAGGAAATGTTCTCCATTACCAGACAGCAGCATCTGTGCAAAGCTTTTCTTCACTGAGTGTTTGTGGGCTGTTACTAACTGCCTGGGAATGAGGCAATGTAATATCATTCTAGAAATTCAGTCATTGCTGTAAATTCTGATCCTGCAACTGCGAATAGATGTGTGTTTTCACAGTCCATCTCCAAAACTAGGTTCTTTGCCAGAGGGTTTGACTTGTCCAGGGCACTAACCAGGGCTGGGAAAAGCAGTGCTGTGTGGATTTCCAAAGGCTTTTTTGGGATTCCAGAGTGAGCTTTTTGTCTCTTAACACTTGGAGCAGCAGCCTTTCCATCTGCCAGGTGGGCTTTGGCTGCAGGGCTGCACTTCTGGGATCACTGCACCCACAAGGGGTGTGGGTGGAAAAACCTGCACACTGCTGCAGATAGAGGTGCCTTAGTAAAGGTGTGCTGTGGAGCAGAGGGGGTGTGTGGGGAGGACATTACTGCCATAGCCCGTCTTTTGGCCATGCCTCCCTTAATTCATTGGCAAAAATAACTTCAGGCATCGCAGGAGGAGGGCAAATACCTTAGTGAAGCAAATTTGAGATGAGCTAAATGTAAGTACAGAACTGATGCTTTAATATTTCTCTTAAAGAAGGATTGGTGTCTGCCCTATTGTGACCACAGCAGAACCTGGAGTACTCTGTGTCTCTACTACCAAATATCAAGCTAATAATTGCTGTATATCAAGATGGTTAAGCAGAAAAATCTAACCAGCCTTCAGAGAAGAAGTTGCAACACTCAAGAGTCTTGTAGGATAAAAAATTCCTGCACTAACCTGCAAGTCTCAGTAGTGGCTCTTTTGACTCACTGAAAGCAAGCTTAGACTACTGGTATCTTTTGCTGAAACACAGACTAATTTTATTTTCCTTTGGGCTGTTTGTGTAGATTGCCACTCCCCTCATTTATATTGTTTATTCCACTGAAAGCCCATCCGGCTGTGCCTGTGGCGATGCCGCTGCGTTGTCTTCAGCACCAACTGTTCAGTTTTGGTCTTCCAGTGTTTATGAGAAAAGACAAAGCCCACGAGGTGCTGCGAGTCCATAAACGTGCCAACCACTTCCTAGAAGAGATTCGTCCGGGGAACTTGGAGAGAGAATGCAATGAGGAGAAGTGTTCATTTGAGGAGGCCAAGGAGATCTTCCACTCGCAGGAGAAAACGGTGAGAAACTTGATTTTAGGAGAAACAGAGGAAAGTCAGTGGTCAGGTCTCGGTAATCCTTGCCAAGTCACCCAGTGTGGCTCTGGAGGTGTTGTCTGTGGATTCTGCAGCTTGGGTCCCTTCAGGGTGATTCAGGGAGGGTCACCCAGGGCACCTGTGAGACTTCACTTTGTGAGTGCTCAGTTTGATGTGTAAATGTTAAACACAAATCCTTGGAAGGATCCAAAACCCATTTCTGAGAGCATCAATCCCGCAATGGCATTGAGACATTTTCAGAGGTCACTTGCTTGTCCAGACCCTCCAGATCCAGAGAAGAAGTGTCAGATTCCCAGGGCCCAACAGCATCTGTCTGGAAGCAGGGCTGGGGCCTTTTGGGGCCCTGCTGAGGCAGGAGTTGGAGCTGCAGAGTTCAACATGTGCCTGGTCTCTCCTGGATCCAGCCCAAGGTGCCAGGAATGTCCCTGTAGCAGGTGGAGCAGTGCAGTAGAAATGGCTCTTCAGAGCAAAGCAGCTGGTGCTGAGGCCTTGCAGTGACACCTTTTGGGGAGGGGATGGGGTGATGGTGTCACTTGAAACTCCTGAGCTGGTGCCACAGACCTTTCAGTGGAACCTTTAAGGATCTGAGCTTTCAGTTTCATTTGATCCCAGGACAACCCAGTTTATGCACTCTGTGGCTGGTCCATGGTGCAAACAAAAGGAAACGGTACAGTGGTGATCAGGAGATCTGAGAACGTGTTCTGAGAACATGTCAGTTTAGATGGACCCTAAAAAACCAGCTTTCTAATTTATGTCTTCAGTAATCAGTATGACCATTTGTTGCCTGTTCTCTTCATTTGTGATTTCCTCTTGCAGATGGAGTTTTGGTTCAATTACAAAGGTAGGTAAAAAAGGAATTTTTAAAAAATGTATTTCTTTTGTCCCTCCTGGGTACAAAGAATTATGTGGCAATTGAAAGCCAGGCTTCTCTTAATTCCTGGAGTTACACTCTGCCTTGTTTCTTCTCCTCAGGTTTAAATCCATGTAGTACAAATCCCTGCAACAACGGTGGAGTCTGCAAAATAAGACATTACAGTTACTTTTGCATCTGCCCCCCAGAATTCAGAGGACACAACTGTGAAATAGGTGAGTACAGGGACAGACACATTGGCATTCGCTGTGAAGGAAGGATGGCATGTGACCATCTCCCATCAGCTCCCAAGAAAGTTCAGGGAATTACCCCTTTTCATCACTCTGGGGGGATAACAACTCTAGTGACTCCTGCCATAGGTGCCTGCACTGGAGATTGTTCATGATGAGGCTCTTCTCTTTTATTGAGTCAATCAAACAAATTAGGCAAAGCTTATTGAAAAGGGAAAAGTCTGCTACATTTATATGGTAATATATGAGTGATGAAAAAGGAAGGATAAAAACTGCCTCATCTTACCAGGTTTTTCATCCTCTGAAATGCTGTATCCAGTTTGCAAACTGAGTCATGAAACAGCAGCAAAGACCAAAATGTGGAAACTAAATTTTTTTTCCTCCAAGTGCTTTTGTCAGCCTTTTCTTTGTACAGTGAAGCATTTAAACATGACTATTTTTAATGTAACAATGAATAAAAATCTCAGGCAATTTCAGGCAAGGTCGGCCCCCCCAAAATGCCCAGTGCTTTAAACCTGCTATGATATAAAAGACAAGATGTGCAGATGGATCGAGAACTGATGCATTTAGAAGTGTTTGCTCTTCCAGGCCTCTTCTTGCCCCTGCTCCACAGACAGAAAGGCCCAGCTGTGGCCTCGGGGCAAAGCTGGCAAATGGGAGAATGGTGAAAACAGAACAAACCGAACATAAGGTGTGGTTTGCTGCACACCAGTGTGCGTATCTAGAACTGTAGGAGATGGTTCCTTCTGTTTCCCTGAGCGATTCCAGCAGATGTTTTCCTGCTTTCCCTCATGCAATAGTAGCTCCAGGATCTGGGTGCTGTCTGGGCTGCCTAACGCGGGTGTTTCCCCGGCAGAGAGGGTGGAGTGCTGGTACAAGAACGGCGGCTGCTGGCAGTACTGCAGGGACGGCAGCGCCTCCCAGGTGGAGTGCTCCTGCAGCAGGGATTACACCCTGCACGAGGATGGCAGGAGCTGCGTGCAGGCAGGTAAGGCACGGGCTGCTGGGGCCACCTCAGGCCAGGAGGAGGTTTGCAGGCACTGGATGCGGAAGAGCTGCACGTGCTGTGGCTACTGCAGCTTGCACTTACTGTATGAAAAGTTCTGTCTTGTAATGTTTATTTTAAACGTTCATGTTCCTCTCTATCTGGTGTCTGTAATCCCAGGCCCCTGTGAGCACGTGCTGGGTCAAGGAGCAAGCGGGACAGTCTGGAGTGGGCCTGTTCCTTCCAGCACAGGCTTAGATCAGCTGAACTCAGTTATGAGGCTGAAGTGCAGGGGTGGGAGGGGAGAGGATAGAACAGGGGCCTTTAAAACATGGTATTAAGGCAGAAGGGAGTGCTGGGTTAGTATTCTTTCCTGAAGAGAGCCCTCGGCAGGCTGCTCCTGGCTGATGGCTCAGAAAAGACACAGCCACATGCCTGTTTCTGGGTAACGAGCTCTGCACACTCAGCCAGTGTGGGTGTGGGGTGGCCAGGGGGAGTTCAGCATCACGAGGTCAGAGTTGTTCCAGGAGGGCCGAGTCCCATTCTTGGACAGGAAAGATGCTGCTTTGTGTTTGAGTTCAACGACATCGACACCCCCTAAGCTCCAATCTTGGTTTCTGTTGTTCCTCCCTCCAGCACCGTTTCCCTGTGGCCTGATCAAAGCCAGGCAGGAACAGCGGTGGGGGCCAAAGAGGCTCCCGAGGGGCCAGTGGGAGCACGGGGATGTGCCCCAGCTGAACAGGAGCATGGAGGGCACAGCTGGGCAGATGGAGCTGGAACACGGTGATGCTGGGGAAGAGGAGACCGTAAAGGATGCCTTTGGGCACGCTGGACAAAAGGAGGTGGCAGGAGATGCTTCCAGCTGGAATGAGACAGTGGTGGGCTCTGTGTCCCAGAAGCCACTGTGGGACAGCGTTGCAGGGCAGGAGCTGGATGGCCCTGAGCACCACAAGGCAGCGGAGGGAACTGCCAGGCCTGGGAGAGGCCCAGCTGTGTGGGGTGAGCCAAGCCAGGGCCCTGCATGGCAGGATGAGAGCACAGCACCTGCTGCCAGGCAGGAGGGAAGGTGGGGAAATGCTACAGGGCAGAACCAACGAGGGGAGGGCACTGGCAGGAACAGAACGGGGACTGTTCAACACGGGAGCAATGGGCTGCAGCACAGCGGGGATGGGGGAGACGTTCTGGACACACCTGAGCCTACCCAGACAAACATCAGCTCTACTTTGGAGCACAGGGACACCAGGATAACAGGAGGAATGCTGTGTCATCGTGGACATTGCCCCTGGCAGGTAATACTTTACTTCCACACCTCAATGCTTTCTTTCTTTATCTTGGTTGGGTCCTCCAGGAGCAGAGTTCACCAAGCCATTACAAAGTTTTTTCAGGTCGAGAGCAGTGGAACCACACATATTTCTCAGCCTTCAGCAGGGCTTTTTGACAATCCAGACCTTAAATGCCTTTATGATTCTTCCCGTCCTACATATACCCGCTTTTGGATTAGAACATAATACCTTCTATCTTAATCCAGTCAGTCTCATCTCCTGTGCTGTTATTCAGGTTGTATCTGCGTGTCCTTAGGGCAAAGCTGAGCTTCTGCCTCCTTGTGGAAGGCTGGGGATAAGTTTTCCCGAGGCAGTTTCTGTGGCCAGGTGAGATTTAGTAGGTTTGGGGCTTTCTTGTGTGTGTGTCCTTATTTGTTTCTAATTTTCACTATATTGTCTCTCTTTGGTCAATGTCCTGTTACTGTTTGCAGAGAAATTCTGATCTAAACCCCTTCACATTACCCTCGCTCGATTTACTGCTGGCACACAAGTAGATTTCCCAGTTCCACACATCAGAAGGTATTTACAGGTGGAAAAATCATAGGCTGAACCTGGGTGGACTGTGCATTGTGCACTCTGGCAAGCTGAAATGTCACTATTAGCCAATTTTATGGGTTTCCATCAGCAGCTGCTTCCCTTTGGATCAGCAGACTGATTTTGGGTTGTTAGGTGGGAATGTTGTTTGTTGTCCAACCTTATACAGTTTCTCCTGGAAATGAAATGTTACCACCAAGGTGGTTTTAAATTGTCATTACAGCAAGAAATTTGTAATTGAATGCTGTATTTAAAGTCTATCTATCTATCAATTTTTAAAGGGTTTTGTAAACCCTTTGCATTCTAGATCTTCATAACCTAAGACAGCATTTTCTGGTAAGTGTTCTTTGCTACTTTTCAATGTTTATTTCTAGCACTACTGAACAGATTTAAAAGCATCAATAGTACATAGAATTAATAGTTGAGGGGATGCTGAGGCATTGATGGAGCTTTTAATTCTGAGCAGACAAGGCAGACATCAAACACTGGGCCCCATGTTTTTACTTCTCCATTTGCTACTGTGTAGATCTTTACAAACTTTATTGCCTAGAGTACTAATAAACTGCACCTTGTGCTTCTGTTCTCCACCACTCCCAAAACACTAGATGCCACATGAAAAATAAATCAGTCATACTTGTTCCTTCAGAAGAACATCAGCCACTGCAGCTGTAAGTCTACGTGACCTTGCCAAGCTTAGTTCATTATTGAGTACTCTGCTCGCTTGTCACAGCAGCGCAATGATTTTGTTATTGTTTTCACTGCCCCTTTGCTTGGTGGGCTGGTGGTTCCTGCCAGGCGTGTTCCTTACCTGGGTTAGAGCCCACAGTGCGTGCACAGCCCTGGCCCAGCCCCAGTTGTGCCTCTCCCTTCCCACAGGTGCTGCTCCGGGACAGCCGGGGCGTGGGGTTCTGCGGCGGGAGCCTCCTGAGCAGTCGCTGGGTGGTCACAGCCGCGCACTGCCTGGACCTCGTGAGGCCCCACCACGTCACCGTGGGTGAGCACGGGGGGCAGGGGAGACAGCACAGCCAGCCCCACCTGCAGGCAGGGAACACTTCAGTTCCTTGGCAGCGGGCAGGTGCCAAAGGGACGTGCAGGAGCAGCACTGAGGAACTGGCAGGAAACACTTCTTCAGCCTTAGTCCCAGCTGCAGCTTAACACTGATGTCATGTTCCTGAAGGGGAGAACACTGTCCCAGGGAAGTTTAGACACAACTCTGCATACTAAAAAGGAGTGACAGTGTTTCTGAGAAATCTTCTGCCTTGGTGTCACATCATCCAGGCCCCACCTCTCGGGTTCCTAAAGGGCACCTGGAGTTTGGTTTGTAGGATCACAGCTGTCAGTGGTACATGCAGGATTTGGTTTGGGATGTACCTTCTCAGGACAAAATATCAAAGCATTAACTCCCCGTCCTTCGTGTTTCCCAGTGATGATACCACAGAGACTGTTCACAGTTTGCTTAACGTTTTAACTTGTCCTGGCTGCAGGAGACTTTGACAAATACCAGAGAGAGTTCAAGGAGCAGAAGATCGCTGTGGAACGGAGCTGGACGCACCCACACTACGATTCCAACGACTACAACGGTGACATCGCGCTGCTCTACCTGAGCAGTGCCGTTGTTTTCAACGAGTACGCGATTCCCATCTGCCTGCCCAGCCCCGGGCTGGCCGCGCTGCTCTCCGAGGAGGGTCGGCCCGGCGTGGTGAGCGGCTGGGGAGCCACCCACGCCCGGGGCTCCACCCTGCGCTTCCTCATGAAGGCGCGGCTGCCCGTGGTGAGCCTGGAGCGCTGCCAGAGGGCCATGGACAGGCTGGTCACCGACAACATGCTGTGCGCGGGGCACGGCACCGCGGCCGCCGACGCCTGCAAGGGGGACAGCGGGGGCCCCTTCACCGCCTCCCACCACAACACCTGGTTCCTCCTGGGCATCGTCAGCTGGGGCGAAGGCTGTGCCCAACAAGGGAAATACGGGGTGTACACCAGAGTAGCCAACTACATCCCCTGGATTACAGAGGTGGTGGAAAGTGTAGCGGATTCAGAAAATTTTTCCATTAACTTTTCTTAATGCCACCTATAGGAGCAGAAATAATTCTACTATTACAGTGTTCCAGTCTACAACACTGTGCCTGTTCTCTTCCTCAATGGTGTAAAATCAAGCTTCTTACCCTCGAGGAAATTTTGAGAGGTTTAAATTGCTTATTCAAGTATTGCTAAAATACTTGAGTATAATAAAGAACTATTTGCAAGTAACAAAGGAGAAAACTCAACTTCGCTTAATGCAAATTCTTATCAGGAAGATTTTTTAAAAGCAAGCGCTTTACATTTCTCAGGCCTACCTGCATACCACAGACAGGCACACTCAGTCCTCTGTACCAATTCAGCGCTTAGCAAAGCACGTGCAGTTCAGGTAGTGGTGTCTGGCTCTGTCTGAGACAGACAGTGCTGAACACAGCAGTGAGGGAGCTCTGAAGTTCTGGAGCCAAGAACAAGTCCATTTACTAAATTACAGATGTTTTCTGACACAAAAAACATCTGTATGGAACTGGGCATAAACCGAGCAGGAATCCACCCAGCTGCAGGAAGATTAAAGGATTGTGCAGTAAAATTCTTAAGAGGTGATCCATGTCAAAAGTAGTTTTGATTTTATGACCTCTCCAATTGACTATCAAGTTTTTATTACAACCCCCACCGCATACTCCATTGTTACCATTCCACAAGAAACAGAACCATTCTGTTTTCCCTCATGGTGTTGAACTATTATGATTAGTTTTGATAGGAAGAATTTGAATTAGGCCTTTCACAAGACCACTAAGGCCCAGTACCTCAACGAAACATCCCCTAGGATTTAAAAGTAGTCCCTAGCCCCCAGTTATTAGAGGACTAGACTGAAGCACCAGAACTACAAAAAAAAAATTGGAGGAAGAGCAGTTCCTTTGTTTTTCACAGTTGCACTCACCACTCTGGCAGTAAGGCAGGCCCTGGCTTTCAATAAATTTTGGACTAAAAATGGAAAAAGGTTTCAGCATGCTAAAATCATAGCCCTGAGGTGGTTACTGCAGCATGCACATACCTGGGCAGAGTAGGTGAAGTGTCAGAGCAGAAGCCATCTCGTGCCCCAGCCAGCACAGGCATCCTCCCTGTTCTTGCTTTGTGTCCCAGCACTGAGCTCTGTCACTGTCACTGCCTCCAGTCCCACAGGGACACCTTTATAACATGTGACTGTCCACACACCTGCATTCACCCATTGCCAGTGCCAGCAGTAACTCAGTCAAACACCACCATCCCCACCTCAAAGAATTCCCAGAATTACAGAACACACATTACCAGCAAACAGGCTCTGCTCCTCTGGAAGGAAGGCGACTTTCTTACCGAAGAAATTCCAACTGCCAGTTGTCTGTGCAAGGAGGAGAGTCCTCTTCTTGTAGGCAAGCTCAGCAGAGACAGCCATTTGTGGAGGTAAAGGCAAAGAAGCAACATGACCAGATGCTGCTCTGCTGTTGTTCTGTAGCAGCAGGGACAAAGAAATAGCAGCATTATCCCCCCTAAGAGACAGGAACCTTCTCCTTCCCACTGGTTAAACAAACCTTTTGCAAAGTCACTAGTGAGCTACAGAAACATTTTAGCTGGAAACTCCTGTAATTTTTAGTGGTTGGCCTGCTGGGCTTTCCTGACCTTTACATCAGTCTTCATGAACAATAAAACCCTTTGTGTGGATAATGGTCAATATTTCTACTCAAAAGCAATACATGTAAATCTCCAAAGACATAATAATTGATAAATAAACCACTGCTTTTCCACATCCAAGGTGGTCTGTGCATGCCTTGCCCTGAGTAATCAAGCAGCCCAAAAAAACAGAAGATGTTTTATTGTCTAAAGTGTTGCAATACAACAAATACATGATCTGTACAATGGACATGATAGGGCCAGTTTAAATACAATCAGGAGAAAGAAGTCTTCATATTCACAGTCCTCAGAAACATCTTCTACCAGAACCTGAACCAACAGTTTAAAGATTCACTAAAAAAAACCCAAACAAGTTGTAAAAAATTTAAAGGTTTCCAAAGAGTCTGTGGGTACACTGTCTTACAGCAGAGCTCATGGGGTATTCTGTGAAGGGTCACAATGGCATCTTATTACCCTCAATGCTGATTTTCACTGCATGGGCCGATCTGCTTTTTTTCCTGATATCTGTGAATTTCCGCATCTGTTTGTCCAGTCGACTCACCCCTTTCTTAGAGGTTCCCTGGAACTTAAAAAATAAAACTAATAATTACCACTGAAAAAAAAGCAGACGTCCCAGAGGTCCAAGGCAAGCGGCGCATGCGAGGTCACAGCTGGCTCTGGCTGGTGAATCTGCTCTGCCCCGAGGACAGCATGGCCCGTGTGGAGGCAGAGGGCACTCAGCCATCACCCCCTTTGCTGGGTACAGTGTGGAAGTTTTCTATCTACTGGTTGGAGGTGTGCCAGAACCACAGTGCACAGGTGTCACCCACAAGGGTTTCCTGGGGGAGCTCAGACACGGATACACCGTGACTGAGGCTGACACAGCATTTCCAAACTGCCATTTATTTTAAAGGTCATGGATTAGTCCTTATAAAGCAAGAGATTATTGGGAAAAGTGTGCAGGGAGAAGCCAGAGAAATGCTAAGCTGACCATACGAGCTCTTAGAAGTTACTGCATTTCATCTCTGTATTCGAACTGCGAGGGAAAAGCAGGCAGTGCAGCAGTTGTTCTGCCCAGATTAAATACAGTGATGTTGTAACAAAACATCACCGAAGACAGACAGCAAGGACCTTCCAAGCCACAGCCCGTACTTCCTAGAAGGCAATTTCCCCTAACTAGGTAACAGAAACAGTAAACGATGGAACCACCACACCTTTAAGTTTAGGAGAAACAGAGATATCCAAAACATGCTACATAGTATCTGACAAAACACATCCTAGAAACTTGTTCCCATTGCTGAGGAAGGTGCTCCTGACACACTGATTTTAAATAAACTTTATTCATAAAACTGTTCACTATTCATTGAAATTATAGTTGAAGTTTCACAGTGATTTTTAAGAAAATATTTTTTTAAAAACAAATAAATATGAAGCTTAAACTCAATAGTTGTCTATCACTTGTGCTCACCTCTTCCTGTCACTGTTAGCTTGTGGCAGCCCTGCTCACAGCACTGAAATGCAGACCAGGAATTGTCACAACTCCCACACTGATGCACGTTCTCCCACCCCACACTCACAGTGGGGGGTTTCTTCCCCTGGTCTCATTGTCTGCCTCCCATCAACCACTCCTGAAGTCTCTTCACACTATCACATCACTCTACTTCCTTGAAAGAGGTGTGAAAAACACCTCCCTGTGCCCCCCTCAAAGATCAGCCACAGACACTGGTGTGCAGTGACACGAGGCTCTGTACCAAGGGCTAAGAATTCCCATGTGTCGGCTCAGGTAAACCTGGAAAACCCAGTTGTGTCAGAACAGCACTCAAAACCACAGGTGGTGCAAAGCTGGTTCTGAGCACAGGTGTTTTCACTGGACACGTGTCATTTGGGTACCCTGAAGCTGTGCAGGCAGGTGTTAGTTAGGTGCTACAGCCTGTTTTCTCCTGTACAAGCTGCCTTGTAGGTCACGGTACAGACACGAGAGAATACAAGGAGAGTTTTCCAGGTTTAGGTTAGGGTGTACACACTGCTGTCCTGCATGTGCAAACTGCCAACAGCTGAAGCACATGCACTGTTCACACCTCCCTCGAGGGATACCTCTCCAACTTGGGAAGGCAGTGGCATGGCTACAGGGGCATCCTGTTGCCTTCAATGCTGAACTTGATGGCCCGATGCACTTTGCTGAGTCGTTTCTGTTCAGCAAACCGTCTCTTGTGCTTTTCCAAGCGACTAATACCTCTCTTAATAGTCCCGGGCTAGAAACAACATCTCAATTAATGCACAGAAGGAGAGAGAACAGCAGCAAGCACAGCAATTGTTACTTCTTCCATTTACACAAACTCTACCACGAACGCCCCTTTTTAAATGAAACTGTACAAGGTAGGTGGATGAACCACAGAAAGCAACACAAAGGCCTCCACTGAAGCCATTCAAGTTTACCAAAACCTCAAAGGTTTCCCAAACTGGAATATTATCAGAACATGATAATGTTCTGGGGAGAGATATAAAAATATCAGTGCAGTGACTCAGGTACTGAACTGCAGGTTTAGGTCAAAATGCTCTAAAGGAAGAGGCCTGTGGTCAGATTCTCAGCCAAGAGAGAAACTCTAGAACAGTTATCTCAAAAATCTCTTTTTGTTAGAGAAGCAATGAAACCTGAGTGAAAGCATCTGATGAGCTTAGAACAGCCCACCTGACAGACTGTCTACTCCCATTAGAAGAGCCCCTTAAAAGAACTGCCCTGCTGTGCAGTAACCACGGCAATAGTGACAGATCCCCAGGCTTAGGACAGTCACCAGGAGAGTGGCAGTGCTTACCCTGGAGGACTCCATCTCCACGTTCCACTTTGGCCTGACCACGTAGTCCTTGTTGGAGGGCATGGGCACCCTCGCACGGGCACAGAACCCGGGGTCCCCGGGCCTCAGAGCCCTGCAGAAACAAAGGATGGGACTTATGGACAAATCTTATCCAGAAAGAACTACGGCAATTAGTGTGTTCTCCTCTGAAACGCACTGCATACCACTGCCTCTAAAACCTCTACACAGTTTCCATACTGGTAGTATCACCAAAATACTTAAAGCAATTTAAAAAAAAAATAAAAATCCCAACTTACTTTTCCTCTCCAGTTAGCACTTTCTCCAGGTCCCTGCGGGGAGTCTGACCACCAGAGCTGCACGAAAAACAGGTGTTTTTAGGCAGAAAAAGGCAGAAATTTAAAAAAAAAAAGAAAAAACACAAACCAAACCAAAACACCAAAAAGTGTGGTAAAAGGAAAGAGAGGTCGTAACTTCCTATCCTTTTATTTCCTTAATATTTACACAACATTTTTCTTGATGGAATCCTAGAAGAAGGATTTTGTGTTTCTGCCTGCTACTCCTACCTGCTCAGTTTCCTTCGATGAGGCATCTGTTCCAAATCTCTCTGTTCCCTCTCTTCTCTGGTCATGCCTTTGTAGTTTGAGGTAAGGCCAAAGATGGGTCGAGACCATTCATCTATTAAGAAAGTAATTGGTTAACACAACAGCCAGGCCTCTGAAGTTTCTCTCAAACCATTCTGGTGATCCAAGTACAGCTTTTAAAGTTTACGGCAAG